ATAACACATCAGTTCATCCATTTATTCACCTTCACAATGCATACGTGAATAAATGAATATAACATAATAATGGCCTAGTAAATGATCTTTAATCGAGAGTGTTGTTGTGGTTGAAATATCTGATATAAACAGGAAACGAACAGAGAACACCAGTGACTTTAAAATTATTTGCTGCTGATCATCATTAGCATTTTAAGAACCGGTTATAAGTGTTTGCGGTTCGATTCAGCTCGACTCGGTTTGACTCAACTCGATGAGTGTACGTAGCACCTGATCAACACAATTCCTATTTGCTGTCGACAACGAACGATTTTTTTTTGTGTTCACTTTAGCGAATGTTATCGTTGAAATGATTAATATGTTAATTGCTCTTCGGTATGAGTCAGTTCCTAATTGATTGCAATCATCAACCAGGATTGGCTTTATGTACACTCTACTCTTGTAAATCACATTCAAAACAAACTGATCAATTCATAACGATTTTTCAATGAATTTTCTTCGAACGCAAGGCTTTGTATTGGAACAAGATTTACAAAAAGCCCGCTTCGCTCAACAAGAGAGGATTTAATGCGACGAGTTCCAAAATGCGCTCCGTGAATGTGGTGTTTCGAAATTTCCAGATTTTCTTGGCCTTATCACTGATTTAGACTCATTCAGACATTTATGACGGTCCAAATTTCTTATTCAATGCTCAGAGAATGATGTGATGATAGCTGAGCTGTTATTTGAGCAGTCGTGAGGCAATTGTGTTACTTTAAATCATCGTTTCTCTTATTGTTAGTAACGGTGTAAAATGTGATATTCGTAGTTGAGTTGTTTATTGTCAGTGTTACATTGTTTTCATATGATACAGTTATGAAAGCATTGATGAAATATTCATCATTGCAGCGATATGAACAAACAATTTTATGGTGTACCAATCAAGGAGTATTTCTCGAATCTTGCTTCAAAGAGAGTCGATACCGAAGAAGATAACCCCGATTATAGATGTTTCAAAGGCAAAATTCACATTTATGTTAGTATTTTGGATGTACTTTCTCGAATCTGACCAACTGAAACTGTTTGCTCACGGTTTTTTAGAAGCGCTCGTAAATGTGCTTTCATTTTTGCAGTTGCGATGAGTGATGGGAGATTAATGAGCATGTGAGCATGAACAGTGAGCGCTTTGTGTGCATAAGCAGGAACAACCGAAGATAAAATTTTGTCGTGAGCACTAAGCGAGCAACTCTGAGCAAATTCGTGAGCAATGGATGAGCCGCTCAAAAATTTCTGCTCATAACGAGAGCAACGAGTGAGAAGCATCTTTTTTTTCGCGAAAATTCCCCATCACTGTTTACAGTGGTCAAACCGTGAGTGATCAAAAGAAAATTGATAAATCAATCATATTCGGATGATTGTGTTGAAAAGACGGTTAAAAATATTTGTTGAATCATGGTATTTGCTAGAGGTGATGACTGATCATTTTCAGCCGTTGACGAAGATATTATTCCTGATTAGTATTGGAATATGGTTACTTTTTATGGGTGTAACGTTTCCGTGGAGCGTTTTTGTGTTCTGGATTCCACTCGTTTATTTCCTGATAACGCTTTATGCGTTAAGACAGCGAAACGCACTCTGTATGTGGCCATCGATCATACATTGCGTAAGTTGTGTTTTATCACTCACAAATACACAACCTTAGCAGATCAATTCGTTATGATCACACTCGCTTGTTCAGGCAACGCTTGTGCTCATGTGGTGCTCCGCTACAATAGTGCTTTTCTCTACGGCACTATTCAGTATGCAACGATTCTTGGACACATTTGGACTAGGTTTCTCTACCATCATTTTTTTTTGTGAAAATGTTCAAGTGTTAACAAATTCAAAGTGAATGTCACAATTGCATTTGTCTAGACATCAATAATAATTTCAACGAAGTTATTCCAGGTTATCATCAAGCATTCGTAAGTCGTCT